AATACACTCGATGGGACACGACAAAGGTAAGCTTCACTTTCGCCTCTTCAAACCTGCACACAGCTGACATTACCACAAGGTTACCAAAGAACTCACCAAGGCCAACCAAGCGCTCAAGAGCTTCGCCCACGTCAACAAGAAAGCATTCGAACATTACGAGAACTTTACGCGCCAGCGACGGACCCTAACAGAACGCCGCGCCGAACTGGACACATCACGCAAATCCATCGAGAATCTCATCGATGTGCTAGACCAGCGCAAAGATGAGGCCATCGCCCGTACCTTCAAGCAAGTCGCCGCAGCTTTCGGCGAAGTTTTCCAGCAACTTGTTCCCATCGGCCGCGGTCGCCTCATCATCAACCGCAAATCGGACCGTGACGCACGTGGAGACATCTCTGACGACGAGGATATGGAGGAACAAGAGACCCAGGGGAAGAAGAGCAAGGTCGAAGAGTACACAGGTGTGAGCATCGCTGTATCCTTCAACAGCAAGCACGACGAGCAGCAAAAGATCGGTCAGCTCTCTGGAGGCCAAAAGTCGCTCTGCGCGCTCGCCCTCATCTTTGCTATCCAAAAGTGCGATCCCGCGCCCTTCTACCTCTTTGACGAAATCGATGCCAATCTCGACGCGCAGTATCGAACTGCTGTTGCGCAGATGCTGGAGCGATTGAGTGGTCATGGTGGAAAGAACGCGGATGGAGGTGGTCAGTTCATCTGCACGACTTTCAGGCCTGAGATGGTACACGTGGCGGATCGATGCTATGGTGTTACCTACACGAATAAGACGAGTAGCATCGATGTTGTTGATAGAGAAGCGGCGCTTGAGTTTGTCGAAGGTATGCAGAAGGCTTAATATGGGTATCAGCACAAGCATTATGCAAGTCGATGAAGGAAGTGTACTATGGAACTGTATGAGTCTTTTACGCAAGAGGAGGGTGCGCTTGTTTTGTGTCAATTCACGGTTTTCATGTGTGCGATTATGGCGACTGGACTGGGAACGTGTTCGTAGGACTAGTCAGCTATGATTCTTCTGTCTTTATTTCCTGAAGTCCGTAACTCTACTCCAATCTGTGTTTTGTGCAGTGTAATGTACCGCGAGTTTGCCAGTCTGGTTGAAAAGGCGCTTTTACTACATCTTGACCTTGGACAAAGCAGCAAGAAGAAAGCTTGATTCTCAACCTTTTGGGTATTGGTAGAGAGCTATAGTAGATTTGAACGACTCCTTGATGATACCCACTTGCTCTCATATACTCATTTCAACGATTGATACGAGGGCTGGGGCAGCTTCTCTGGTAGCAGCAACGTGATCGACTTGTCAAAATGGGGCGTACGGCACCTGCCCACTGGATGCACAATGGAAACAAAACATCATTATGGATGTAAGCTGCTGTCTACAAGCCTCTATCGTAGCCTGTGAAGTTCGCCTGACAACCAATGCGCAGCCTTGGCACTGGAGTTTGAGTCAAGAAAAGCGAACCCGACTGGAAGTCTGCTCAAATCAATTTCCCCCCGATTTTGTTCTCCTCCTGACCATAATCCGAGGCGAAGGTGAGCCAACTGCCGCACGCTCGAACAAATTACAGCCAAACAGCGACGTGCTCGCTCTTCCTTCCGATGTTGTGTCTCTACACACGGCGACGGTACCCGAACTATTGATTATCAAAGCCGCATCGTCTCTTCTAGACCCTGCCTCCTGCCTCGCATATTGCAAATCATGCCATATACTGGCATTGATCGGTGTCGCGAACAGGCAAGTTCGAGCAAAGTGTGGGTTTCGTGCTGGAAGAGTTCGTCTCGAGATCGGGTTCTTCGCTGTACATCGTTGCATCTACACAGCTGAGGGGCTTGGCCTATGCGCTTCGAAAAGAGGAATTCGTGTCGAGAATCGGGGTTTACTAAGGGGATCGCGAGAGGGGTATCCACGAGCTAGCCGTATTTAGCGCTGACGGGTTTATTCCGGCAGTTCGGGTAGCGGCTTGGTGCTTTTGTCCGACGACAACACATCTCTCGCATCGTGATCACTGGTACTTGTGGCTGAATAGCTGCATCTAGGTATTGATTAACGCCGAATTTTGCCACTGTTCGCGCGTCCGGTCACGCTCGTAGACGTGGTTTCGACGTATCGTCTCTAGTGCAGGTGTGCTAACGCCCGACATGGACCTCTGCGTCCAGCCTTCGAAGTAAGCGGTAGCTTGATTGCGCTGGCTAGGTTCAGGGGAATGCAGTGCAACTAGCAGCAGAGGCGTGGCAATGCGCATGTATGCGCACCCAACTGTATGAGTCTGCAAGTACTGCGAGGCCAGCAGTATAGATGTGTAATCATCGGATAGGGTCGGAAAGCCATCTGGAAGTCGTGGCGTAATGAGGCTGAGAAGGATGCGAGCAACGCCGAAGTATGCCACGACGAGAGCAGTGAAGGCGTCGCGAAAGTGCCGAGTTTCGGTCGAAGTGTCCTCCCAGAACAGCAACTTATCCGTATCCACTGCATCGTTCATATACTCAAGCCAAAGCGCCTCAATATTGCTCCCAAGCACGGTGTAAGCATCGAGGCCAAATTCTGGTCGCGATGCGCCGGTCTTCCGCGCGACATAGACGTCCACCAGGTCGGATACATAGCCCATAAGCGTCTGAAACCGAGGTAACTCAACGTATCTCAATGGCCCGTACAAAATGCCTTGCATTCGGAAAGGTATCCTCTTGCTATTTCCGGTCAGATTGATGAATGTCAATTGAGTCCGGAGATGATCTGCAAAAGAAGTACAGTGTTAGCGCGCGTTACGTGTTTCTCCCGTACGAAAGAGACTGCCCTCTTGAGTTTCAGACAGGGTGTGGGATACAGTCTGAAAGGGTACATCATCCTCTCTTCCACGAACAATACAATGACGACCACAGCAAATACAGCTAGGCTTTATCGCATGAGGAAACTTACAGAAGATCTGACACAACGCCCCTTGTGAGCATTGTTTTGGTGTAGTCAATTCAAGCATCCGAACAGCTCCGAAAACGTGAGAACAATAGGCTGCGGCGTTGGTAGATTGCATAGCTTCAAATAAACTGAACAGAACGCTCGTAGACACCATATGTACCGTGACTTCTTGCTTGGTATGTAGACGGGAGACGAATCGACTGTGCGCCCGTAGGGCTTCTCCGTACATCTTCCATGAGTACTGTGTAAGTGCCATGTTTCCGCTTTCGGCAGCGCAGTAGGCAGATGCCGTAGCCTGTGCAGCCGTTGTCAGTGCCTCATTTGTGCCATCTGTTGTCAGAACAGGCAAGCTATGCAGCCAAGTACGTTGATTCCGAATGTCTTTGCTTTCGCCCTCGGACGTGAAGTGAGCCATAAAGTGAGCATAAAATGCCTCGGTCACCACTGCTCTTTGCGAAATCTGATACGACAACACTTGGTCAGAACGCGCGCAGCTCAGCGTGGACGATTCCGCGCTCTTGCTTGTTAGTTTTGACTTGCGCTTTCTCATTCCGTGTTTAGCAATGTTCGTCATGTCTACGAAGACGGGACCATCTGGTAGTCCGGGGCAGTCGTGACCGGTGCGAATGCACATAAGACATTTGGGGACTGTCGCATCGCATTTGATGCGTTTCTTGCGACAGGTTACACACGAGTTGGTTCTTGCAGGCATTTAGAGTGCTGGGAGAAGTTTCAAGAGCAAAGAGGGAGATAATGCATGTACTGACGGTGCTGCCTGAAGTTTCCACGGGGTGAAGCGATATCGGGAAGTTCCATCACATGCTAACGGAAAACAGCAAGCTAGCAGAAGCTTCCAGATTCGGGATAGCGCAACCCGCATCTACAAGTTCCCCGGAACCCTTGAGCTGAAGTAGATGTCCCTTGTCAGCGCGCGCAATCAAATTATGTCAGACATTCGTTTTCAGAGTAAAGTTGCGAGAAAAATGCTGCAGCGTGTGCGGATTAGATGGGTGTCCCAAGCTCGCGAAGACGGAGTTGCCTCGGGTGAAACACGTGCTGCTCTTTACGGCTACCTAGGTATGTGCTGGCGGGATTAGCATGTTCGCGGAAACACAACCGTACACTTCTGTCCCTTTGCATTCACGCAGAAGATAAATCGGCTCGTGTTACGAAAACTGATGCCTGGGAGCCACCCAAAAGATATGGGGTGTCGTCGCTGGAGACACATCATCAACAAAAGATATGTGAGTATCCGTTATTTACATTGATCCCTCAATGTGTACAGGTGGTTTATCTGAACTCTCAACAGCAAAGAAGCGAGGTAGGAGCCAGTTCCTTGCTAGGAATGACGTACGCGACCTGCATCGCGCGTACGGCTCAACGGCGTGTTGGCTACCTAGGCATATTCAAATAGCACGACAACCCAAACGCGTTCGCCATTCTTCGCTAGCCCTGCACATGCTGTAGTTTTTCTTGCTTCATTTTCTTTCCGCGCTGCAGAGAATTGACAGCTGTGGATGCCATGCGATCTGGCAGGCAACTTCCGCGGGGAGTCGCCGCCCTGCCTTCGATCCCGATCCCGACGAGGCGAAACCTGTTCATGATTTGCCGCAGGCCTGTATAATGGGCCACTGCTAAACGCATCCGACTATATCCACTCAACTTGAAGCCACAGCACAACGCTGCTTCGGACAGTGAACTAATGTAGAGGACTATGATTGGTGGGTGAACAGCCGCCTATCAATCCTCTGAAGGGTGCGTTTCTCCCCAGCACCACCACTACCACAACCACCAAACAACGATTCGTTACAATTCGCATATGCGTGCCTGCCTATTGTCTTGTCTTGAGACATCAAGCCACACAGTCCCGTAACCGTTCCTTTACCGTGGATTACCACCCTTCGCGCCTCAGGCCGTCCTGGCAGATCCGTTTCCCCTCATCGCTCCCAGAACAACCAGGCCCACGGAGACCTTGGCCGGAACCCAACACGTGACTGAAGTCGCTCCCCTGCGAGCTGCATCTGCACTGGCAGTGCGATCCTGTACTGATTTCCAATCACCGTCGGCCTGTGCTATGCAACGAGTCCCGCTCGGGCAGTCCAGTGATGGACAGGGTAGGAAGATCGCGATCCAAAAGGCGCCAGCGCCGCCGCAGCAGGGCAACGAGAATGCAGAAAGATACGAGAAAGAGCAAAGAGTGTCAGTGACTCTAGCCTACATTAGTACACGTTGTGAACTAACTCGTTTCTCTAGTGCAAGGGCATGCAAAACGTGCCGCAGACGAAGTAAACAGCCGCATCCCTCCGTATTTAATCGTTCCTGCTGATAATCCCGCTCCAGAAGTCAGGTGTTCGGGTGATCATCCGCGTTGCGCCAACTGTGAACGCAACAACTTAGTTTGTGTGTACGATCCAGCACGTCGGGATCGTCTTGGAGAGTATGTTTAGATTAACCATCCAACATTCGACTTACATGCTGACTTTACAGGGCCATGAGGTTGAACAAGAACCTCGTTAATCTCCTAAAAGAACTAGAAGACCGGGTCGATGAAGCAGACAAAAAGGCCATCAAGCAGACATTACATGATGTATGTATTCCGTCAGTTATCTCGTTGCCTGAGAGTGTGACAAGGCTACTGCTGACCTTACTTCTCCAGGTTGAGGATGATCTTGTTTCCCTGGATTCCTTACAATCCGTCAGGACTCTGGGAAAAAGGCCACGCGAGCAATCGGCGCAGAGAAAAGAGCCAGGGGATGGCCATCACGGAGAGGCCCTCGTGACTGCATCCGTCGGCTCCAACGAAGATCTCGACTTCCTTGATGAGGATTTGATGCGCAGCCACGAGTCGAGAGAGACCGGCTACATGGGCCAAAACTCGGAGGTGCAATGGCTACGAAGTGTTCAGCGTCAAGCAGAACGTGGCAACTCAGACCCTCAAGGGCAGCGATACGGCCCTCCAGGCGCAAGTTCGGCAGCTATTGACGAACGATCCGAAGCTTTGCATGAACGAAGACAGAATGCTAGACCGGGCTCGATGCAACACATAACGGACGCGACTTTCTACCTGGACGGCGATGATATTGAGGTCGATATCGCTGTAGATCCAAACGAGATGCCTGGCCCAGACATCGCTGAAAGGCTCTTTGATTGCTATCTGGAAACTGTACACGGCACATTTCCTCTCATGCCCGCTAACTTCGAAGACCAATTTCGACGCTACATTCAATCTCTCAGGTACAGAAATCCGTATCAAATCCCGCCACAATGGCGTGCGACCATGAACCTACTTTTCGCTATTGGCGCCAAATACTCTCATCTCATTGGTGCCGAATGGCGAGGCGATGAGAGAGACCATCTCGTATACATGACACGAGCTGTTCAACTCTTGGGACTGAAGGATACTATATCGTTCCTGGCAGCCCCCAGTCTGGGCAGGGTTCAAGCAGTAAGTGTCCATCTCCATTCAAGCCTCATCAATGTACCTAACATCTTGAACACTAGACAGGAACATTGGCGTTCTACTTCCTTGTGATCGGACACGTGAGTAGAGCCTGGATCATGAGCGGGCTCTCCGTCAGACTCGCCTTGGCACTCGGTTTACACCTGCGTAACGAGGACGATTCGATGAACGACTCTAGGAGAGAGCCGTTGGTGAAGACGTGGTGGTGTTTGCACTCAGTAGAGTGCCTCGTTTCATCCATCACTGGTCGGCCTCCGGTCATTGGAAACGAGGATTGCACTGTAACATTGCCACAGTACAAACCTGGATCTCCAACGCGAGACACAAATGCGGCGCGACGACACTCTCGCGTCCGCACGAACTACAGCTCACCTCAGACTGTTGGAAGTAGCGCTGCCTCTGACTCAGGTCAACGGGATGCGGATGGAAGCCACTATCTGCATACATATGTCACCTTGACCATCATTTCACAGAAGGTCCTTCTCAGCCTATATTCGCCCCGGACCGCAGTCCAATCTTGGGAGGTATGTGTACCATCCTTCCAATCCGACCGTGTAGTCGCCGACAAATGATTCTTGTTTGTGTATAGGACATTCTGCTGACTACCATATCTATAGTACGTACAGACGAAAATTACGGAGCTGCTCAAGGAACTAGAGGACTGGGTCAAGACAGCGTTACCATCTGATGACATCCGTCCGAGTAACTCCACCCAACGACCCGAGCTCAACCGCGAACGTTTTCTACTCAGAATCTACTACTGGAGTACGAAAGTGCTCATCACGCGGCCCTGCCTCTGTCGAATAGAGCGAAGAATAGCAACAGAGAGTTCCAAATCCATGAACTTCAACGCCGAGTCAGCAGAGACATGCGTCGAGTCAGCTCGAAACATGACGATGCTGTTCCCTGAACAGCCAGATACACAGTTCATTTACTCGCAAGGACCGTGGTGGGATGTGGTTCATCTCAGTAAGTTTATCATGATATGAGAAAAGTCTAACAAGAGCTGACGTTCTTTCCACTAGTCATGCAATCAGTAGCCGTGCTGCTGTTGGAGATGGCCTATGAGGGCAAACATCTAAAGGATGAGAGAGACGACATCCTGACGTGCATCAAGAAGATGATACGCTGGCTTCGTGCTATGAAAGTAAGTGACCCAGTCGCTGCTCGGGCTCATGATGTCGTCTACAAGATTTTGAACACTTGTGCGCCTGCTCTTCGGGAGCAAGTCAAGGAGTTGATTGCCGACGATACTGGATGGACTTCTCGGCCCGCAAAGCCTACACGCTCTGCACCGCAGTCAACCTCCTGGGAGGAAATGCCGCCAAATTTCCCACCCCCGCTTTCCCAGGATCACTTCATGGACCCGCTACTTCCGTACCCTCTGCCAGAACAACAACCAACGTCTTTCGCTTTCGGAAACCCCTTCATGACGAACTTTGATCAAGGCGTACCTCTTGTCGATATGCAACAGCTATGGTGGCAGTCAGCGCCCTTGAGTCACCTGGACTTCAATCCTTCCACGATGAACATGTCACAGCAGCAACTCATGCAACAGCAAATGCAGCAACAAATGCATCAACAGATGCAGCAGAGCGGTCTCGCCGAGCAGGAAGATATACAGGGCTCTTCTTGATCGTCTCGCTCGCAGGAAGGGGAAACGGATTGGCGGTGTAGTTTCGGGTTCAGCAGCTTTAAAGCGAATATAGATATTTGAACATCAATAGAAATACCATTCTTTCCCCTCAGCCAACTAAACTCATCGCACCGACACCTTCATGCATGTTCATACAAGACCAAGGCCTTTGCAACGAAGTCCCAACTTCATTCCACTTCACTCTCCATCGACGGTCTCCCAAAACTCGACACGGACTAAGTTCCCATATCCAGATCAGCGAGTATTCCTCCCGAGCAACCTGCCAACATTGACATACCTCATTAGGCGACATAGTCCTGTAAAATATAAAGGCCCTATACGCGGGATCGTATTCACCCTTGACCATCATTTTAGAGTGATCTACAAGTCACAAGTCATCAACACCCTTACCTTTGCATCGAGGAGCCCAGGCGACAAGAAGCGTGCTAGCGACCGATACATGGCTACAGCGCCATCCCACATCCACGCCATGACTGTCCTAATTGGCGATATCGCGTAGAAGGGGTGGGTATTGGCAGCCGCGAGTGGAGTGCGAGAGAAGGAGCTTGGGTATCTGCATGAACGCGGGTGCCATGGCTAGTGGAGTAATGGGTCGTCGGCAGATAAAGGTTCATTGGGAATGCAAAGCTTAGGTAAGATTGAAGTCAAGATGAGGTTTTGGCTATGCATCTCGTATTGCGGAATAGGTTCCCGTGACCAATCATGCTAGCGGAGGTGTGCCCAATGTATGAGGATGGTCGCGCCACTGGAAACATTGCAAATGTGAAGGGCGTTGGCATGAAGTAGCCCACAAGGTTCTTGTTATTGCAATTTACAACCAACCAACATAATCGTAACAGTCTTATGCAAGTCCATCGTTACTTCGTCAGATCAAATCACCCACTAGACGGCTGTCTCTTCTTCAAGACGTTCCTCCGCTGTTTCCGATCCGCCTCCAGTAATCTTTCCCGATCGTTTTTATCCTTGTGAGTCCCACTCCCCTCGCCGAATCCTTCTCCTTGTGTGATGGTGACTCCGCTGACGGCTTTGCCCGCCCCAAGAGTGATACCATTGGCTCCGAATTTGCCCGCCATACTCTTCGTGCTCTGCTGGCTGTCGAAACTGGACCTCCTGGCGGGCGTGTGGTTAGCGGGTGTGGTAGTTTGAGACGGATCTGTACCAGCGACTTCGTCGGAGGACCACCATCCTTCGGGCCGAGACGTCGAGGTTTTTTCTGTCATTTGAGAGTCGCCGACTGACGCACCTGGTGAGCTGAAGGATATGGTTGACATCCTGTTTGTGGAAGGGGGTGGCGAGGATATGGTTGATATCCTGTGCGAGGGTGGTGGTGACATGATTCTGTTGCGGGAAGGCGAGGGCTTCTCTTCGGTTTGGGTTCTTCGGTGAGTGGGAGGTCGTGGCGTTTGAGACGCTTGGAAAGGACTTGCTAGCGACAATGGCCTTTCTGCTATCGTCGTGCCATCGATGGAGCTCGGCGCTCGCGAGTGCTGGGAAACTTTTCTTGTCCGTAGCGCTACCGGAGCTGTCGCACTCTCATCTCCCGCATCGTCGTCGTCTTCGTCGCCGTCTAACCCGGGTAGTTTGCTGGACTCTGGTAGGAGACCTTGGTACCGGCCCGGCGATCGTAAGCGTCGTTGCTTCTGACTCTCTAGAGCTGCTGCTTCTGAGCCTGCGAATTTGTCCAACGCTTCAAAAACGTGCGGGAAGACGAGTGTGTGAACCGATTCCGCCCACAGGAAGTCCAGGTGCTCGTAGTGAGGGATCTCTTTAGCGATAGTATGAGCTGGGAGCTCCTTGAGCATGACCTTGATGTCGACTAAGCTGTCCGAGCCGCCGTAAACAAGCACGATCGGCGTCTTGATGTTCTTGGTTGGAAACTTGGCAACCTTGTAGTACTTGGATCGATTGGATGTGATTGGATTCGGCGCTTCATCGTCGTACATTTGGAACGTGCCATTCCGAATGATCTGGAACCAGTGTACCACGCTCTTAGTCGACGTGTATGAGTAAAGATGGGGGTATGCTGCGAGCTTTTGCTCGGGTAGGATGTTGACAGCGGACCAGTTGAAAAGGAAGCGCAGGGATGTGTCGATGAATCGGACGAAGATGGGAGGATATAGGATGGATTGCCACATGGTTGCCGACGGGAGAATGGTCTTTCGTCCGAACGCCAAGTAGAGAATATCAGGAGAGGCTTTGACAAAGGCGTCGACAATGCCAGACGCAACACCCTTGGGAGACATGGCCGGGGCTAGCGCAATGAAGACATCAACCTTCTCGTTCAGTGTGGGGTGGATGGACAAGGTCGCGAAAGCCTGCGCGGTTCCTTGCGAAAAGCCAATATACGACAGAGAGGGCTGGTGCGTAGTCTCGAGGATGTAGGCGATGGAGTCCGGGATGTCGTGGAAGGCGAACTGGTCCATGCTGAAGTTCCAGAAGCTGCTCGAGGTAGGGGGCGTGTGGACGCTCTTCTTGGAATACTTGTTTCCACGGTTGTTGCCGAGCCAGACGTCGTATCCGCGCTCGACCAGCTCAAATGGCAAGCATCGCTCCTTGTCGGTCAAGCAGACCCAGACCTCGCTGTTCATCATGAGACCGTGGTGCAGGTAGACAACCTTCTTCTTGACGCCCTTGGCCCTGTCTCCGCTGTTGACGCGCACGTTTTCCTCGCCCTGTCGCCAGCCCAGCCGGTGCAGACCCAGGAGATAGCCATCGCCCGTCTGCACAATGTGTTCCTCGCAGTAGTAGCCGTAGAGGTCGCAAAGCTCGGTAAAGTCGGACGCATTGGCGATGGAGCTCCACACGCCCTTCTTCTTCTGGCGCGAGCGCTTGGACGAGGGCGACGAGAGGTGGTTGAACAGGCGGCGCGTGAGGCGGTAGCAGAAGTTGATAATGGGCGTAGGGAGGGCAAGCGTGATGACGGCAATGAAGGACTCGAGGCCGATGAGGCAGATGGAGAGAACCAGGGCGATGTACTCGCGGATGTGGAGGCGCGACAGGAAGGGTATATGGAGCGCCATGCTGCCCAGGTGCCCTCGGGCGTGTGAAGACGGGCAGGGCACAGAAGCAATTAAAGCAGAGAGAAAACGGCAGCGCGACAACGCATCGCCCCTCTGTACGCGCGGGCCTCTGAAAGTTCACAGCTCGCGCTCCAGCCCCTCTTGAGTTACGGTGAGGTCTTGAGTCTGAATGACGTTCCAGACGGAAGCAGCCATCCCTGACATGTGACAACGCATCCTAGCCCCGGAGGTTAGCGCGACGTTTCGCCGACGGCTGTGAAATGTTAGCTCCACCCCATCACTCCACACATGCATTGTTGAGTGCGCTGGTAGCCACACGCGACCTCCTGCCACCATGCCGCAGTCCTGCAAAGACATCCGTATGGCTTATTTTGTATCTTGTGCGATGCCTCGGCTAACCGGAGTGGCTAGGCGCTGCGCTGGCATTCTGCCTCCAAAATAGCGACTGCATCATGGTCGACCGACACACGCCCGGCGAATGTCTGCGCCCGCCCCTCAAATACACCCTCCCCACCCAGTGCCAGCAGCTGCAAAAGGGCTACGCCGAATGCAAAAAGGGCATGATTGACATGCGCAAGCGCTTCCGCGGCAACCGACCCATTGCCGTGCCAGGCCAGCTCGAGACGGGCGCATTTGGCCAGGGCCGTTCCGAGGCGGACGAGAAGGCGGGCACCATGGAGGAGAAGGGATACATGCTCTACGCGGGGCGGCCGTACAAAGACGTCAAGGAGACCAAGGGCGATGAGGATCCAGAGAACAAGGGCCTGGACCGGTAGCGATGGTCCGCGGCACACGACAGCATAGATTGGCGTTTGGGTATCACGAACGGGGACCCCATCTCCCCTCTGTATAGCAAGCCTGTACATTACGCATACTAGCGATATATCACGAACCTCTGGGTATGATGACACGAACAACTGCAGACCCTCCTTGACTAGCTCCTTCTCTAGATGGCAAACACATACGATTGATCGAAGCACTCGTCCCACCCGGCAACCCCGCCCTTCCAGTATCTCTTCAGCACCGAGCATACTTTGAGTGGACAGCTCGTTCCCAGTGTCCTGCTCAGATCCTCCAAGCCCGCCTCGATCCAGTTGCGCGTCCCTTCCCCGCGATGCATAGCTTCTACACCCGCGACGATCAGCGGCCAGACCATAAACTTAGCCATACGCGGGGCCTTGAGTGCAGTGCCGAGGTTGCTGAGCAGGACATCACCGTAAGCTGTTTGGCTCTCGAGCAGTGAAGGGATCGTCGGCAGGACCATGAGTGGGCAAAGGGACAAGGTAGCGTAGAGCGCGACGGCGGATTTGTACACCAGACCAACAGTCAGCCATTCGGTGCAGAAGGTGCCAGCTCGCGCCCAGTCCTCGACGGGGAAGGCCTCGATGCGGCCGAGGACGTCATAAGCTTCGAGTGCATGATCCGGGTTGAAATCACACAGCTGGATTGCTGCAGATGCTTTTGCGCGCAGCTGGTTCGTCCGCAATATCTCAGTGAAGAGCTCTCGCGGACAGAGCGTGTACGGAAAAATGAGACTGTACATGTCGGTTATATCTTCCCTCATTTCCTCCGCAGTGTTGCTGATGTCGACTTGATCCCATGACGGACTGCACGTGTTGGAAAGAGACACGATACTAATCATATAAGCAGGTTTTCAATCCAAAGGGCAAATAAACATACAGTAGGTAGAGCACCATCGGCTGGATAAGGTACGGGGCTTCCTTCATGACCTGCTTGGGTCCACCTCTGAGGTCAACTATCCGCTTCATGGCATTCACGTGTGAACGTCCATCCGCAAAGGTGGGGTTTTGGAGCTAGAGGTACGTATCAGTACGGGACTCCAAGTTTCACATTCCAGGCGCACTCGCATACCTCTAAGCACATGAACATGAGAATTGTGGTGATAGTCATGTCCGAGCATCGTGTCTTGTCCTGGGCAATATGGCGACTCAATGCTCGCAAAGCTGCCCCCCGATGTTGGTATACTTTTGTCCGCGCCATCACCGCTGTATGGCCTGCGCCTAATGGTAGACTGTAGATGAAATGATTGAGTGACAGGCAGACTAGCGCATGATGGATGGACGGAGTAAGCAAATGCAAGACCTGCGGAGGGAAGAGCACGAGGGCAGGGTTGGGTGCCAATTCTTGGGATGCCTTGTATTGTGGCTGTATCCGTACGTTGTCTGGTAGCGTTAGCCATCGGCCACACATGTCGCTATAAAACTAGCCTCATGTTTCATAATGAGGAAAGCAGTCACTCACAGTACTGAACAGCTTGCACCTCCTCCGATGTCTCGTCTATGAGATCATCATAGAATGGTACATCTTGCATGCTCAGGAACGCAAGTAGGCGCTTCAGTCGTTGGAGTGGATCACGACCCGAGCGCAATAAGCTTTCGGCCTCCTCGTGCAAGCCTTTCTCCACGATCTCTTCGATCTTGGCCCTTCCGCCGATCTCGAATACCCTGGCGGCCTCTTTGGCCACGGCTATCATCTTGAAGGATAGCACGTGGAGCTCAGTCACCCGATACTGGGGATTGACGATCCGGTCCTTTACCCATTCGGTCAAGGCGGCTTCGTAGTCCATGGGTTCGCAGGCATAGTCGACTTCACTCTTAGCCGTTGTGTTGTTGCTGGATCTTTTCCGCGGACTACTGTCTTTCTTTCCTCTTCGTTTGGACGTCACCATCCCTGGCTGAACCCACTGAAGCGGCTTCGCGTCGTCGTAGCCCGAGCATTGCCGACCGCGTTTCTGACACTTGTTGCAGCGCGGGAGCGTCTTGTCGCACACTAGACGCCGTCTAAGACACTCCCAGCATTGACGTGTCGCTCTCTTTCCTCTCGTTTCGGCCATGGTCGCTTCTGAATGCGGGTAGATGAAGATTAACTGGAAGGTACCCGCAAAGAAGGCGGCAATGGCAGCGGCTTTGGTGGCCTCATAAAAGCGTGCATTTCTGCAGTTTTATTACCATAAAGGGCTCGTCTAGCCATCATAGGTGGCTGGTGATGATGAGTTCAGCTGGTTATCAAGTTCGTCTTGGCCAACTTTACTGCTGTATTGGGTCTAGTCCAGCGAGGAAGCTTATGTGCATGTGGCGCTGGGGGCCTGAGACCCGAGTGTCTTCGTATTCGGAGGTGCCGAATCGACATGTCTTGTGCTGCAAATCGCAACAGAAAAGTGCAGGTTGTGAGCGACCGAAGAAAGTTTTGAAGCATGTATACATGCGCATTTAACGGTCTGCCTAGCGTGGTGTGGCTGCATGTGTTCATGAGGATAGCGCGACGCGTTCCTGCCCGAACGGCGGTTGCGTCATTTGACAGTCGAAAGCTAGTATGAAGCTCGATTGGCAGGTGCGCCTAACAAACGGCCACCACGATGAAGCTTTAGTAGATATGGTCATTGGGATCCCGTTCTGCTGGCCGGCACATTCTTCACTGTGTTCTTGCATGTGCTGCTACCTGTCAACATCCAAATGGTGTGAGGTATGCTACTTTAACGTGCTCCGAGTTTGAGACGCGACAGCGATGGAATCGTTCTGCCTTCCAAAGTTGCATTTCTTGAGCCAAGCTGATTGGATCAAGAGCAGGCAAGCGGTATACGGGAGGACTACTTAGCTGTGCAATCGTATGAAGGCTCGGCCATCAGTAGTGCTGTGTCAGGACAAGCCTGTAGTAATCCTATTGGACATGCCGATTGCTCTTCTCTTGCCCTTGGAGTCAGCAACGATCATTCGAAGATCAAATTGCAGTCGCTCCAGCTTAAATACTCGGATGCGCATGTTACTTCTCATGCTCTTCATTTACCCCGTCAAACAAATACTACCATGGCTCCCTCAGACGGTGAGATCATTCCCGGAAGTGTCTACCTATATCAGCCTGTTAAATGGGCCCCTCCTATGTTCACAGTATGGTTCGCAGTTGCTACCATTGCGCATGTTTGGCAATGCTTCAAGTACAAGGCCTGGAAAGTCACCGGTCTCCACCCCTTCTGCGGTCTACTGTTCACAGCTGGCTTTGTCGTACGTTCCTACGGGGCCTTTAATTACGAAAACATCGGAGCATACGTCGCGAGCTCTATCCTCATATTATGTGCACCGTAAGTAGCTCGCCCTTCTCTTTTGAGGTGGCTAACAAATCACCAGCCCCATCCTTGAGCTGGCCAACTACCATGTGCTTGGTCGAATACTCTACTACGTACCATACCACTCGCCTCTGCATCCCGGCCGTACCCTTACGACGTTTGGCGCAATATCCAGCATCGTTGAAGTTTTGAACGCGATCGGCGTCTCCTGGCTAGCGAACCCCAACATTCTCGAGACCTATGCCGACATCGGGCACATCCTGATGATGGTGTCACTGATCTTACAAATCGGTGTCATCCTCCTCTTCTGCATAATTGCCGGCGTCTTCCACAGACGGTGTATCAGAAGTGGCATCGAATCGAAAAAAGTACAGGGCCCTCTCATCACGCTGTACATCAGTCAGGGCCTCATCCTCATTCGCACAATATACCGCTGCATCGAACACTTCGGCATCAGCCGCGTACCCACGAATCCGTCAAAAGACTGGGATCCAATGAGTCTCTCGCCAATCGTTCGATACGAATGGTTCTTCTGGGTTTTCGACGCGAGTTTCATGCTCGTAAACACCGTGCTGTGGAACTATCGCCATCCGCGTCGCTACCTACCGGAGGACTACCATATCTACTTGGCCCAGGATGGGCAGACCGAGCTGGAAGGTCCAGGTTGGAAGGATGACATGCCGTGGTTTATGACCTTTATAGATCCGTGCGGACTTAGTGCGTCAATTACCGGTGGTGGTCGAAGGGCAGAGAGACCATTCTGGGAGAATAATGGCTATGAAACTTTCGAACTCTTTCAAAGAGACACTGGTGACGTAGTAGTTAAAGCCTGAGAGGGCGGTACGCTACCTAGGTATGGTGAAAAATACGAAGGGGGTTCGCTGTTTATAGATTCCTTGTTGATTGATCGGTTGCGAGTTAGACTTGTACAGATAGCGCTGAAAGCTCCAAATGCGGACCTTCTCATCTCGCACACCATCGGTAATGAGACCTTGGGAAGCTGCAAGTATGCGGCATCGAGGTGACGCTGCGTATCCCGAGTATAAGGGGACGGAGGGCTGTGGATCAAGGAGGGCGTCGATTGAAGGCTGCGGGCGTAGGTAACAGGGCGCAGCGTAGTGGGAGCTGTCACCGCTTTGAGAGGAAAGGCTGATGTCATAGACGCGTCGCTGGCCGCCTCTCAGCCCTTCCAACACACGACAGGCCCCACTACGCGGCCCGCCTGATCATCCACCTTCCTCCATCTGGCCATGTCTGCCTATGCTACTCTTCGCGTGCATCATGCCTGAAGTTCTAGAAACTATATCAATGCTGATTGCTGCTGCGATTGATGGTGGAGGGCCATTGCGCAATCTACCTCGGCTCCGCACATCATGACCGCGAATCTCGACACGCGTCGCATCCGGTCTTCCACTTCCGCTGAGCTTCGAGACTACTACACCCAAATACTGGACGATGCGCCAATCCAGGAGATCACGACACAGCTTCTCTCAGCTATTGAGAGAGGCTCGATATCGCCGCTCACCTTCGGGCCATGGCTCGGCGTAGCACAGTCGCCTATCGCTACACGCGAAGCGCTCAATCAAGATAAATCCGTACTTGTCCGCAAGCTCGGCATCAAGTTTCTGCGTAAAGGACTTTGTTCTTCGCGATGGAGAGAGACGTGGGATGGCGTTGGAGGAACTGCTGGGTTGCTTGACATCTTTGCAGACCTCTCAGTGATCGAGGTCAAGGCTGCTTGTAACGCAATTGGTCGTTCTGGTAGAGGCGCTGACCTGAATGCGAAAAGAGAGCTTTTCACGAAATTCTTCAAAGCGCTGCACCCTCATCGCTTCCCCGATTCGCCGCATAAGACGAAAGATCAGCGTGCACTTGGAAGGTTCTATCGACTCATCATTCCTGCGTGTTCGAAGGAGCTGGTAGAAGAGGCCATCGCAAGCGGGTCGAAAGGAACATGGAAAGATGCGCGAACCAAGGATCTCGTCAAGTACTATCCGGAGTGTATGCAAGAAGAGCTTCTCCAAGCGGTGAGCGCGGAACAATTACCCAGCGACAACATCACGGTATTTACAGAGCTACTGCATCACCATCCGCCAGGTAAATCGACCACAAAGGGCTTTTCCAAGTCGATGGAGTTCTCTTTGAGACTCTTGGAAACCCTTGGTAAATCAGCGCACTCGGTAGTGGCGGACGAGACTTTCATCGACCAACTCGTCAATCCTCTCATTAAACGTGCAATCAAGAACCATGCAGGTTGGGATATGATACAACGAATAGTCGATCTCACAATGCGGTACTTGGAAGCCCATCCGAGCACAGGATGTCACATCACTGGCATCGAGGGCGACTTTCTCCAGCAGGTCGCCTATTGCTGGTCACAACAGCCAAGTTTGTTCGAACAGCAACTGCGGAGGCTCTGTTCTCATCCGGTATTCGGTACAGCCAGCAAGACCAACATCGGAGACTGGGATGACGTCCTCGCAAGGATTCCAGCAAAGCGAAGCTACCCACTCTTGAGACTTTGCTACCAAGAGTCCACCTCGCTTGACCTTGACAGCGATGCGGATCTGAAGAAGACCAAGAGCTCGATCCATCCCAGCTTTTTCGCCAATCTGTCCCCTGCCGACGCTCTGCTACTGTTTACTCGTCTGCGAAAAGCGAGAGGAGATGTTGATCTAATCGACCTTGATCGAAATCGCTCTATTTTCGGCCAAACGCCAACCTATGAACTTCAAGGTCAAAGTGGTGACCCGGATATATTTCACTTCTGGCTACTAAGCCTGAACAACAAGGAAGAAGACGCCAAGATATTGGCCAATGGCTACGTTGATGTGCGCAAGAAGAAGGCTGCTACTGCATCTCAGCCGGAACAACGTGCATTCTTTGCCAAATCAGCGCTATTTGCTGCTATCGCCAGTGGGTCTCTAGACCTGCTGAAAGATACGCTGGAGTGGACCAAACGCTTCTTGCGAGATCCGCTCGTGATGCGGGAGATCTATCCAAACATATTTCCTGAAGAAGCTACACGCCTACTATCAGGTATTCCTGCATCGATCAACGGATTGTCAAGCCTGACTGTGCTACAACACCGAGTCGCAATGGCGAACACGATTTTGCAAGGAATGTTTGACACAGCATGCGAAGCCCTCAGGGAACCTTCGTTCAACGCGTCTGATTGGGGTGGCGTCTTTGAGCTATTCCACGATGTTATCAAACTACGGATGGATCTCACACCACATGTCAAGAAGCAACTCAGAGCCCCTGATCACGGTATACATGCCTGCATTTGGCAGGTCACGATTCCTATGCTCATTGCGGTCGAGGAAAAGGCGCAAAGAGAGGAATACGCAAGACTAGAGGCGAATCATCCCCGTGGCATTCTCGCCTATCACAGATCCTTCACTATTGAGCTTGAAAGCTCCGAGGTCTCGACATATGTCTTCTTAGACACCCTCGCACGAGCGAGAGACGAACTCTGGTCCAGGCTAAGGCCGCTAGACCGTCCCGTCACACTGGCGCTTCCTGAGCCCTTTCCTAGAGGACTTCCAATACAATACCTGACTGCACCGTGGATTCTGAACGTGAAGGATCTCAACAGCATAGGGGCA